GGTGATAGGAGGCTTATTCCTATTAAGAGTTCCTCTAACTCTAACTCTTCTAATGATGTGAATGTGTTACGCAAGCAATTGATTGAAATGAATTCCTTGTATAAAAACATATATGATGGCTTAGGGAACAAGGTAGAGAGTATGGGTAATAAGTGTGAGAACATGAACTCTAAAATTGGTGCCCTTACTTGTCAAATGAATATGCTTGCTAACCAATTTAGTGCAGCTAATGCTAAAGCCTCTACATTACCATCCAACACCGTTGCTAATCCTAAAGCTAATCTTAATGCTATTGAATTGAGGAGTGGCAAGGAGTTAGGAGAAAGAGTGCAAGAAGACAAAAGACAAGGAAGGTCGAGAATCGCTCTTTAATTCTTCAATTGATATTAATGTTTCTGGTTCTTCTTTTTCTCTTGATAGTGCATCTTTTTGTAAGGATGATGAGGATGAGAACATTGAGGAGATCATACGTGAGCAACCACCATCCAAGGTAGAAAAGAGGACCATGGCCAAGTTGCTTAGCAAGGAAAAAGAGGGAGAGGCTAAGCAAAGTGAAACAAGAAGGAAAGTTCTAGGACAGAAGAAGGAAAGCAAAGTCAAGAGATTGTGAAGAAGCTTCCTTTCCCATAAGCACAAGTGATCCCTAAGCAAGGAAAGGGACAATTTGATCAAGAGGTATATGATTTCTTCCATAAGATTCATGTTAATATACCCTTGATAAATGTAGTTAAGAACTTTCTTAGGTATGCCAAATTTTTAAAAGAATGTTGTACAAACAAAAGAAAATTTAGGCCTAACATAAGGGTACAATTACCCATATCTATGAGTACGATCATGAAGAATCACTAATCTTCCATGAAACCTAAGCTTCTCCACCTTATCCATGTGTTTTTCATTCTTCCTTGATCAGTTTAGAGCTGTTAAAGGTGAGAAAAGATGAAGAATGTTAAGAAAAAGCATTTAGAACCCTAAAAATATTAGTTTTTTTGCAAAGCTATACATTTCAATAACCGATGATTATGCTGCAGCATAATTCCCACTGCCACTACCACCGTTACTAAATTATGTTGTAGCATAATTTCGATATGCTGTAACATATATCTTGTCTTTTCTTCATCTTCAATCTTTACTTACATAGAGCCTTTTGAGCCTTAATCTAGATTACCCTACACATAATATAATATCGTTAATGAAAGTTTAGTTCAAGTAATCCATTCATTTCAACAAGGTATTACCAATTCTCCCTTCTCATATTCAAAAGAACTTTTATTTCTTTTTCTCAAATAATAGTCTCATTTTCTCTCAAAATTGTTTAGATGACTCCAAATTGAACCTAAAATTTTCTAAAAACATATGAAAATATTCGGAGTCATCAGGGATTGAGAAGAAATGGTCACATAAAAGAGGATGACATTTTTATGTGTAACATCTCAAAAATTTAACACAAGATTAATTAAGTTAATCAAGGAAGAATAAATAATTTTAGTTAGAGGATTATTATTGGATTTAATTTAGAATAAAATTCAAATACTAAGTTATGATTTTTTAGAAAATAGAATTATTATTATTATTATTATTATTATTATTATTATTATTATTATTATTATTATTAAAAGAGAAAAGAGAAATGAAATAAAAAAAAAGACAAGAAGAAGATTGTGAACGGATTTCATCCGTTTATCCATGTGTGTGTCGGTGTGTAATTTCATTTAAAAATAAACAAGGAGAAAACAAAAAAGAAGAAGGAAAATGATTATAAAATATAAAAAAAATGAAATGAAGGTAGGGCAGACAATTTGCATGTGTATACTAAATGAAACAAAGAGACAAATGTGAATTTTCTCATATGGGACCCACAGCTTTTTTTTTTAAAGCAACACATCTTGTTTCTTTCTTCATTTCCCATCCCTCTTCTTTTCATTTCTTCATGCACGCAGAGAGAATGGGAGAACGCGACATCACTAGTGACAGTGAAGCTGAGTTAAAAGGTAGAGCTTCATAATAGGATATTTCAGTTGAGATTTCAAGTATTCTAAGACTATGCAAGTGTCCCAAATATTTTTCTTAGTTAGTTTTTCCCTTAAGTTTCTGATTTACAGATTATGAGAAATCTAGGGTTGAAAGAGAGATAAATTTTTTATGAATAAATATTGTTATTGAGGTTGTTGGTAGTGTAATACATATCATAGAGTATTGTTTTGTTAATAGAATTGGATTTTGAGGCCTTTGAGTTTATCCCTAGATATCTATAGTAGATTTTTGATTAAGTCTGAAATATAAATTAATTTGTTGATGTTTAGATAATTATTTGGAATGAGAAATAAATTATTATGGCTATAGAATAATGGTTCTCGGCTTGAGATCAAGTTTGCAATTTTTGGATATTTTTAAGTGCGAATTTTTGGAATGAAAAGGGAAATTTTGATATTGGAAAATTATTTGATTGATGTTTATAGCCAAACTTCAATGAAATTATTGTGAAGGAGGCTATTGAACTAAGTAGATAGATTCAAACACATGAAATTAAATTTTAGAACTCAAAAGGCTAAGACTAAGGTCTTAAAAAATTGAAATAAAATAAAATAAATACTTAAGTATTGGAATATGAGTGAAAATTTTGTTCATAATATTATTGACACATTGGGATATAATTAATTGTCGATTAATTTCCTTTTGGCATAATTCAAGCTTTGGAAATTTTTTAAAAGTGTTGTAACTTGAAGGGTAACCTTTGACCACTTAAAGGTTGAGGTAACCGGAGAAAATCTATTTGATGCATTTATATGTTAATTAATTATTTATGCTTGTTAAAAAATGAATATGTGTGTGCGTGTGTGTGTATTCAAATTTTGAATTGTTGTTTGCAATACATATTGTGGTTTTGTTGAGATCCTATAATTTGTGACCTTGTTAATTGTGACATGATTTGAATAATGAGATTGAGGGTTGATGTTGATGTGCATACTCTTGATTATAAATTGTGGATTATGTATAGTGATGAATTGTACATGAACATGTTGAGTTTCATATGATGCTAATGTGATGTATGTGATAATATAAAATTGATGCAAGAGATATGATTTAAATATGATGATTCTTGATGCTTGTTGAGCAAGAAAGTTGATGAACATATGGGATAGTTGTGAATTTTATATATATATATATGAGTTTTTGAATACATTTCTCATGAGCATTATCATATGGCGAGAGTTTTCTTGAGTGAAACAGCTAGCAGTTGTGTAAAATCCATATGGTATTTGACTATTAACCGATAATTCTAAGGGTTATAGTTGCTACTTACCTTGTAAGGTACTGTAGCATTGCTCCTATTAAGGGACTTGACCCTACTGGCCTACCTGAAGTTTTAGGTAGAGCTAGTTTTTGGTTATGACACCCCATAGTGTATGATTTAGGGGAAATCGTGTTCATAAATGATAAGGTAACCCTAGTCCGATAGCCCCTCACAATATGATTAAGGCCTTGTATAGTCTTTCCACATGGACAATTCCTTTCAGTTGTTGGCCCATAAATTTCATGTCAAAAGAAATAATGGGGGATATAAGGAAGACATTGATCATGCATATTATTATTATCATGCCATTTGAGTACTTGATTTCAATATTTGAGATATGATTGTAATTGTGGAAATAAGAACGTGTGGTAAATATGCGAATAACGTATATATGGCCATTTATGCCAATTTTGTATGAATATTCAGTATTTGTGGGCAATCATGCTAATTTTGTACTCGACTTTATTCTTGAAATTATTCACATGAGTTTGATGTTAATATGATTAATGTATTCTTGATATGATTGTTTATATGGTCACCTTGATGAATTTATTTGCCACTTACATTCATGATTAATTATCATGTATTTGTATAACTTAGATGTACCTTGGTTACTGAGTTGTTATACTCACCCTTCTCATTTAATATATTACAAGAGCTAGCTTATTTGGGAAGAACAGAGGAAAGGAGCATTAGGCGAAGTGATAATAATCACTTCTGTCGGCCTTTCTCTTTATATTTTGATATGTGTATTTAGTTTATGATATTGCCAACTAGGATAATATATTCTTGACCCACTTGCATTATGGGTTTTGTGTTGGGTAGAAATGTATTTTGGGCCTTTGGGAATGTAGTTTGATGCTTGTGTTTATATTAATGTGCCAAAATATTTGTACAAGTAGAAATAGATATTATCTGCTTAAATTGAGAATTTGAATGTTGTTATGGTCTTTCTTTGCCCAGGTGGCCTGCCATCGATCCGGACCCACTTCTAGGATGAAAATCATATCAATTATGCCAAGTTAAGCTCCTCTAGCCACACACCTCATTAATTCACTAAGTATCCTAATTAAGTTAATAAATCAAGGTTAAAATTTTTTAGATATTACAAGTTTCATGTGTTCAGGCAAAGAGATTTGGATGAAGAGGAATTCATAAAGAAATTCAATTATTTATCAGCCTATTCTACCTATCTGCAACATCATAATGACACCAGGTGGAAGGTAGAATAATTTCTAAAGAAGATGTGTCTAGAGTACAGGCAGCAAATTGCTTTGTTTGATATCACTACTTATGAGGACATGTGTCATAAGTTGAGAACAGTTGTGAAGAGAGGCTGAGAAGTAGATGCTGAGAAGAAAAGGGATAGTGTGGGAAGATTTACACCTTCTTTGGGTCCATTAAGTGGCATATTGAAGAAGCCTGTGTATAACTCGAGCAACTTTGAAGCTTATGGGAAAAAGAGTTTCGGTAAAAGTTCTCAGACTCAACCAATTCAGAAAGGATCTGTACAGAGGAGTACTGGGTTCAGAATTGGGCCTTAGCAACCTTCAAGGCAAGCCTCAAACATACTAGCTCCTACTTTTAGCACTAGAAGGTCACCCCAGTGTAGTGTTTATGGCAGATTCCATGCAAGAAAATATGGTCTTGTTTCAAGTGTGGGAAGTTAGGCCATATTACCAAATATTGTTTTGAAGGTGGAGTTGAGATGGCAGAGCAACGTGCTACGATTCCAGGACGAGTGTTTGCTGTGATGAAAGAAGAGGCTAGAGCATCTTCAAACCTAATCAAAAGTATTATTTCTATCTATGGTAATAGAATTGAAGCTTTATTTGATTCAAGAGCTACACATTCATTCATTTCAAAAGAATGTGTGGATAGATTAAAGTTAGAACTGAAAGAGTTGCCTATAATAATTAAAGTGACTACGCCTTCTGGACTCTCAAGTAATACTAGCAGAGCATGTCAGAGAGTTGAGATTGTATTTGAGGATCGAGTATCTGTGATCGATCTGATTTGCATTTTCATAAAAGGGATTGATGTAATAGTTGGCACTGATTGGCTTACAGCTAATAATGCTACGCTAAACTATGCCAGGAAGTTAGTGTCTTTGCCGATGTCATTGACAAGGACTACTTCTACTGAGCAACTTAGGTTCCTATCAGTTGTGCAAGCTAAGAAGCTAATCAACCAAGGGTACAATGCCTACATAGTAGTTTGTACTGCCAGCAGTGTGTATGACAATGGTATTTAGAAGATTAGAGTGGTAAGTGACTTTCCTGAGGTGTTTTCTGAGGAGATGTCTGGATTACCTCTAGAAAGAGAAGTTAAATTCTCAATAGATTTAGTTCTTAGTACAAAACCAATTTCTAAAGCCCCATATCATATGTCACCCTCAGAATTGAATGAATTGAAGAAGCAAATTGAGGATTTGCTTGAAAAAGGATTCATCAGGCCGAGTGTATCACCCTGGGGTTCGCCAGTATTGTTTGTAAGAAAGAAGGATGGTAGTTTGCGATTGTGCATCAACTACCGATAGTTGAACAAGGTGATGATGAAGAATAAATACTCTTTACCTAGGATCAATGATCTACTAAATCAATTGGCTGGAGCCTCAGTCTTTTCTAAGATTAACTTAAGATCAGGGAATCATCAACTAAAGGTTTCTGAGAAAGATCTACCTAAGACAGCCTTTCGTACGCGTTATGGGCACTATGAGTTTCTTGTCATGCCATTTGGTCTGACCAATGCACCTACATTTTCATGGATTACATGAGTCGTATCTTTAGACCATACTTAGACCAATTTGTTGTGGTTTTCATCGATGACATTCTAGTTTATTTGAAAGATGAGGAACAACATGCCAAAAATCTTTGAATTGTCCTTCAGATTCTTAAGGATAATAAACTCTATGCCAAGCTCAATAAGTGCGAGTTTTGGCTAAAAGAAGTTAGATTTTTAGGCTATGTGGTATCAACAGATGGGATTTTTATTGATCCTCGTAAAGTTGATGCTGTATTGAAATAGGAACAACCTAGTTCAGTTACGAAAATTCAAAGTTTTTTGGGACTAGCTAAATATTATTAAAGATTTATCTGAGGTTTCTCTCAAATTGCTTCCCCATTTACAAAATTGACTCGGAAAGATCATCCTTTTATTTAGGATGACAGGTGTGAGACTGCTTTTAAAAGCTGAAAGAGAGATTAACTACTGCACCTGTGTTAATAATTTTAAATTTGAGACTACCATATGAGGTGTATACAGATGCTTCCCTAAGAGCTTTAAGTTGCGTGCTAATGTAGGATGGAAGAGTTATGGCATATTCATCATGACAACCCAGGCCACATGAAGAGAACTACCCGGCTCATGATCTAGAACTAGTAGCAGTGGTTTTTGCACTAAAGATTTGGCGTCATTATTTGTTTGGGTTAGTGTTTAGCATAGTCAGTGACTATAAGAGTCTAAAGTATCTAATAGACTAGAAGGAATTGAATATGAGACAAAGAAGATTGATGGAGTTGCTTAAAGACTATAACTTTGAGTCGAAATACCATCCGGGGAAAGCTAACGTGGTAGCTGATATGTTGAGTAGAAAGATGCTACATATAGCTAGTCTAATGATCCAAGAACACAATCTAATGGAATCTTTCATTGATTCTCAACAAGATGCACCATTGAAAGCTTTAGTTGGTGCTTATACTACTATGATTAGTAGTGATTTTTGGAAGGAATTGAGAATGGCGCAATTGGAAGATGAGTATCTTCTTAAGATTTGAGAAGAGGTTGAGTCAAATCTGGCTACAGATTTTAGCTTCAATAATGATGGATTCATAGTTTATCAGGATAGAATTTGTGTGCCTAATGATGAAGATTTGAGAAGGGTGATTCTGAATAAAGCACACTGTAACAAGTACACTATTCACCCAGGAGCTATAAAGATGTATCAAGATATTAAGCGTTATTGGTGGTGGCCAAGAATGAAAATATATGTGACAGAGTTTGTAGCTTGGTGTTTAACTTGCTAGAAAGTGAAAATTGAACATCAAGGGTGGCTGGGACACTATGCCATTAGAAATACCTAAGTAGAAATGGGATAGCATTTCCATAGATTTCATCTTTGGATTGCCAAGAACTTAATCAGGACATGATGCTATTTGGGTAATCATTGATCGATTGACTAAGTCAGCCCACTTTTTAGCTATCAGGATTAGTGATTCTCTAGAGAAGTTGGCTAAGACCTATATTCGAGAGGTTGTATGTTTACATAGAGTGCTTAAAGAAATAGTCTCTGATGAGATTTGAGATTTACATCTAGGTTCTGGAGAGTGCTACAAAGAGCCATGGGTACTACTTTGAAGTTTAGTACTGGTTCTCATCCTCAAACTGATGGACAAACAGAGCAAACCATTCATACTCCAGAAGATATGCTGTGATCTTGTGTGTTAGAGTTGCGTGGTAGTTGGGATAGCTATTTTCCATTAGCCAAATTTGCATACAGTAATAGTTATCATTCCAGGATTCAAATGGCTCCATATGAAGCTTTATACAAAAGAAAGTGTAAATCACCTTTGTGTTAGATCAAATTAAGTGAAAGAAGCATAGTAGGGCTAGATATTATAGATCAACTACTTAGAAGATTGAGTTGATACAATAGAAGTTATTAACAGCACAAAGCAAGCAAAAGAGCTATGCTGATCGAAGAAGAAGACCATTGGAGTTTTTGATAGGTGATCACATGTTTCTAAAAGTTACGCCTGTAACAAGAATTGGGAGATCAATTGGAGCCAAGAAATTGACTCCTAGATTCATGGGCCCATTCGAAGTCCTAGAGAGGATCAGACTAGTTGCTTATCGAATTGCTTTACCTCCACAGTTATTTAGGCTTCATAATGTGTTCCACGTGTCTCAACTTAAGAAGTACCAACCAGATCCTTCTCATGTAATTAAGCCTGAAGTAGAATTACAAGAAAATATAACCTATAGGACAGAACTGGAATGAATAGTGGATGTGAAAGATAAGCAATTAAGAAATAAGACTATTCGACTGGTGAAATATTTTGAAAGGGTATAACTCCTGGTAATGCGACCTGAGAGACAGAAGCTAAGATGAGACAGTTATACCCTCAGTTATTCCCCTAGGTAAGTGTGAGTTAATGGTTGTTTCAATTTTGGGGACAAAATTCTTAAAAAGGAGGGGAGAACTGTAACATCCCAAATTTCTAATCCTATGTTCATGATTGATTAGGGATGAATTAGTGATTTAATCAAGGGATTAGAGTTCTAAGTAATGAAGTAATATATTAACTCATTAAGATATTATATGAATAGATATGAGTAGAAAAGTGACGTCCTGAAGCAGAACAGGTGAGCATAAAGAGAATTTTTCTTATTGTGCCACGCGCTGTGGTGGGTGGCAAATGCGCCGCGGTATATGGAGCAAAAATCAATTTAATAAGGACATGTCCAGCTCGAAAAACAAAAGGAAGAAATGGGGGAAGAGAGTTTTGGAGTGGAGAAGACAAGCTTGTGTTAGGGCAAGCTAAATCAGGAGCAAGGACGATGTTTCTGACTCGTTACTTATTGGGTAAGTCAAATATTGCCTTAACCTCCAAATCTACCCTATTTTCTCTTAGTCTTAATCAAGGAGAAAGTGAATTTGAGAGTTTTAAGGAGTTAATTTCTTACCCGATAGTAAAAAAAAGGTTCTCTAGAGTTAAATTAGTGCTTTGTAACTGGTTAGAGTCGAAACAATGAAGTTTTAAATCTTTATATAAGAATTACCCTAATCTAGAGAGAATAGTGAGAGAAAAATTGCTAGAAAATGTTAAAGCTTGAAATGAGGGGTGATCAATGGTAATGTGCATAATCGAGTGTGAAATGTGGATATGACAGCAATTAAGTGTTTAATTGTGATATTTGGCACTTTTAGTCAATAAAGAAATTGACTCTGAATGCCAATTCTATATAGATTCTAGTGTGCGACGTACAAATTACGAGATAGGAGTTTGAATAGGGTTGAAGTCATATGGGTAACCCTTTCTCACGAATAGAAGGGTTGAGGTAACCATATAGTTTATTATACTTATTAACTATTATAACTATGTAAAAGTAAATGTCAAATATCAAATCATGAATTTATGAGTTTTAGCATGAACTTTGCATTGTGAAATGAATTTGAAAAGTTATTGATTTTTCATGAGTATATATATATATATTGTGGAAAGATGTATAAGTAGTGGAAGTTGTGAAAGAGCATGATCATAGGGGGTGGGAGTTCACCCAGGATATGTGGGATTGTCTGTGTGTGGAGATTTGTGAGTGAAAAATCTATATGGTCAGGCTGACATCATGAGACATCCGGTGCAGCATTTTATGGGCTGTTATCATAGGTAATCCGATATAGCATCGTATAGCATCTTATGGGATTGTTACCATGGGACATTCGGACAGTCTGACAACTCCCTAATGCTTGTTAGGGTGTGGTTAGGAGTTAACAACACCTCAATCACAAGTGTGTGAAGAGGGAAAATCATAGTCCGTAAGTGGGTTAGTTACCTTTGGCCGAGTATTTCTACCACCAAAAGTGAGCTCAGGTCAACAAGTGGTTGATTCAGAAGAGCCTATGGTTTCACGTCAAGGAGCTTTGGAGGATTGCTGGATAGTTGATCATGCTGTGGCAAAAAAGTGTTTACAATTTGACTTATGTGTGAAAAAGATAATCTAGTATTGATATGTGATGTGCGTGTGTGTGTGTGTAACATAATGTTTTTAGCTACTTTGACGTGGTTATTTGGAGTAATAGACATTTAATGAGCCATATTTGGTTACTGAGATTTTTATCTTACCTGTGGTTATTTACATTTTTCAGGTTCTGGTACTAGTAGGTCAAAAAGAAAGGATATAGGCTGAGCTGGCATCTCTTGCCTAAATCTTTGTAAGATATGGTGTAATGATTTGTAAATTATGAGTCAAAAGTAAATATAAATTGCCATAGGATTTGTACATGTGCATTAGTTATGCATATGGTATGCTTTTGTGATTTTGAACTCCCTAGCCTCATATGTGTGTGAATGAGAAGATGACTGGAAAGACTAGTGGATGGATGTAATTATGTGTGTATATGAAATGGGTGGAGATTAAATGGAGTGATTTGGCCATATATAAGACTAGAAAAGTGAAAATGTGGTTTTGGCCCAAAGTGTGAAATGGGCAGATTATAGGCCAAATTTGTGTATGTGTGTTATATTATGCTTG